TCAAGGCACTAAAGATGAAGAAATAGAGCCTGAAGGAGGGCCTTAACAAGCTAATCTTGCTCAATATCAGCTTGCAAGTGATAGGATCAAACGTGAAATCAAACCCCTGCAAGATACAGCTATGCAAACCTGATTTACACGGCATTAATGGCTAGGGTTGAAATCCAAAGAGCTGAACCAGCCACCTATGAAGAAGCTATAAGCTCAAAGGATAGCAAGCAATGGTTGGCTACCATGAGTGAAGAAATGCACTCTTTAAAGGTAAATAGAACCTGGTCACTGGTTCAAAAACCTAAAAATCAGAAGTGTGAAGAATGTAGATGGTTGTTCAAGCTAAAGGAAGGGATAAATTAGTCTGACCCTGTAAGATACAAGGCCAGGTTAGTTGCAAAGGGCTACACACAAAGAGAAGGTATTGATTTTAATGAGATATTTTCTCCTGAAGTTAAATTTAAAACAATTAGGTTAATGTTGTCTATAGTTGCTCACTATGATTTAGAACTAGAACAATTAGATGTTAAGACTCCATTCTTTCATGGTGAGTTAGAAGAAACTATATACATGAGTCAACCTATTGGTTTTATAGATAAACATATGTCTGAACATGTGTGCTTGCTGCATAAATCCCTATATGGTCTTAAACAATCCCCTAGGCAATGGTATAAACGATTTAACTGTTTTATCGTTGGGATTGGGTTTACTAGGAGTAAATATGACAATTGCTTTTATTTTGCACTTACTAATGACATGCCTATATATTTGCTTTTGTATGTTGATGACATGTTGTTAATATGTGAGTCTAAGTCCAAAATAAATGAGTTAAAGGCAAAGTTGAGTACTGAATTTGATATGAAGGACTTAGGATGTGCGAAGAGGATTCTAGGAATGGTGATAGAGAGAAATAGGAAACTAAATAAGCTGAAAATTCACCAAAAGCCATATTTATAGAAACTTACATCCAAGTTTGGAATGACTAACTCTAGAGTTGTTTCTATACCCTTCGCAAGTCACTTTGTACTCAGCAAAGTGCAATGTCCTAAAACAGATTATGAACTGATAAAAATGGAAAACATTCCCTATACTAATGTAATAGGCTCAACAATGTATGTTATGATTAGTACAAGACCAGACCTAGCATTTGCTATTTCTTTACTAAGTAGATACATGTCTAATCCTGGAATTGAGCATTGGGTTGCTTTGGAATGGCTCTTAAGATACATAAACAGTTCTGTGCATGTTGGTTTGGATTATTGCAAAAGAAATATTGCACTTGATCTGGTTGGGTATGTAGATTCTGATTTTGCAGGTGACAGAGATACTAGAAAATCTACTACAGCATATTATTTTACTCTTGGTGGGAATTATGTGAGCTGGAAGTCACAATTACAGCCCCTGGTTGCTTTATCCACAACCGAGGCTGAATATATGGCTGTAACTAATACGTTTAAGGAAGCAAATTGGTTGCAAGGTATTTTGAAAGAGGCTAACCTATTGGAAGGGCTTGTGACTGTATATTCTGACAGTCAAAGCGTCATCCACCTATGTAAAAATCCAGTATATCATGAGAGGACTAAACACGTGGATGTGAGGTTCCATTTTGTGAGAGATCGATCTCATCTCAAGAGGCCAATTGAACCTGCGAAAGATCCCAACCGAGGAGAATCCAGATAACATGGGGACTAAGGTGGTGACTGCCACTAAGTTCAAGCATTATTTGGACTTAATTCACATCAAATAAGGTAATGGAGCTAAGAAGGAACATTGAAGATGCTTGTTGCACTAATGGATACCGTTCAGAAATGGTGTGTTGGCTTCAAGGTGGAGATTGTTAAAATGTAAAGCCATAAATGGTGCCGCATGACTTAATCCCATGCGCTGCCGTTTTGAGTGATATCCCCTTTTCTGTTTTAATCCTGGCCATCTATTTGTGTGAAGATCCAATGGCTGCCATCCTCTCATTTAGTCAACATATAAAAACAGCCAATTCTTCATTGCGTGAACAGTTTTTTGGCTTTCTTCTTCGTGTATTTTTACTCTCTATTGTGCTCTTTTACTTAGCACTATTTGTGTAATTCTTGGGCAATTTCTTGGTGAATTGTGTAGAAAAGGTTGTGTTTCCTTTTTTGGTTAACAGGGGTGGGTTAGATTTCTCTTAGGATTTGTAAAGATTACTGTAAATGGGTGCTTGTAATAGTGATTTGAGAGTTCTTGAGAGCTTGTAATCTAAAAGAACTTTCTTGATACATAGTGCAATGGGCCTCAGTGTTTTGGAGCTCAACGTGGACGTAGCTTGTTCGAATCTTGAACAAGTGAACCACGGTAATTGTTTGTGTCTTTTATTCTTCTTTGATCTTGTGTGTGTGATTGAATTGGCAGTAGTTTTAGAGTGTGATTTGGTCCGAAATCACAACAATGTGTGTAAAGATCAAGCCATTGGATTCAAGATAATGACGTAACGCCCACACCTTTGATTTCAAAAACAGAGAATATTCAAAAGGACTTTCATTCTCTAGAACTGAAGAGGGCAATCTATTGATTAAGTATAGGGTAGTAAGCACTTGGAAAAAGAAGAGAGATATGATCGATATTTTGTTTATTAATTTAATGTAGAGTAATGTTACACATACAAAATTGGATTCTAACTTTGTATCCCAACCCTCGTGACAGTTGAGTTTACAAATTAACATTTTACTTACCCCAATCATCCTATACTTAAGGAGATCTTGCTAAATCAAATATCACATGAGTTAGGATACAAATTTAATATCCCAATTTTATATGTATAGCATTATTGTTTAATTTAATGGTAAATTTAGAGGAAAGATTCACAATGTGGTTAAATTTTGTAACTCACTTTCATAGTTGACCACTTGTTGCCACTAAAGGAGTTGACTCTTACCGCCACTAAAATAAGTGGGCGAAGAACCAAATCTTAATTAATCTATTGAGTATTGACTAAAAGGATTGTTGAAAGTAATAATAATAGCACTTTGAATGTTCAATAACTTATCTTAATTTCCTCTTTCATGAGCATCGAAGTTGCAGGAATATGATACCTTTTTTTTATTTACATTGATGATTTGTTTTTGAGTTATAGAAAATTGCGTGATCATTGCATTAAGCAGTGAATTACCGAACATATTAGAGAAAAGATATCCACTGTAACGAGTGGATTTCTTTTTATATATTTGTAGATAATTTACTATTGTTCTAATTAACCTAATAAATAATTAAATTCGGGTCAACTTAAAAAAATTGAAGAAATATTATTTTTCCTTCTGCACTATGATATATATATATATATATATAGCTCTTCATATACTCAAAACCATAAAGAAAATATGTCTTATATATAACTTAAATAATTCAAAATTTCAATATTAATCTTCTAAAGGAAGACACCCATTAACATATATTAAGTAAAGAAACTCTATGTTGATATATCCTTTACATTATATATTTACATCCACATTTAGAAATTATGTTTCTTAAAAAACATATATCACAAGTTCATGGAATAATATGTAACAAAATTTTCAACGATGGATATAATGTTATGTTTTCAAATCAATTGAAATTAAGTTGAAAGGAGTTTGGAGAGCATCAACCACCACACTAGTTGCTTCTTCACTAAAATCAAGAAAGCTATGAAAAAGCCATTATACATGATTTAATATATATTCTTGTTGCTTAATTAAACATCCAATCAATCATGTAAAGCCACTGAGAGCAAAGCAAAAGGTACGGAGGAGGAAGAAGCACAAATTCTTCTCTTTCAATAAGGATGGAGGAGAGGCTATACACGTGAGAAAGCATTCAAAAGTTGCCTTTATCACATTGAAAATAATAAGAAATTATTTCCATTAGCGGCTTCCAAGTTCCAAACTCTTGTGTTGCCTTTCTGCGTAATATATAAACTTGAGTGGGTTAAGCAAAGAACCGTGCAGCAATTAGTTCATCAACCCATCTCTTATTATCTAAATAAAAAACTCTCTTTGTAAATAGCTTGATTGATTAGTTCCTCAGTTTGAGGGAGCTTGAGGACTTAAATAATGCAGGTAAGAAGCTCATGCTTCCACAAATTTTTGTTATTTGGTTATTGACTAGGTAGAAGACTGAGTAAGTAGATTTCGGTCTGCTTATTTAATTAACTTGTGGAATGACGATGGGCTTCGTTAATTTTGTCTTTTAGTATGGTTAATTAATTAAACTTATATGCATTTGACGATGAATTTGCTCATGCAAGGCTTGAAGTCATGTTGATGTGCTAATTAATTTGTTGATCTAATACTACCATTTTCTTTTCCTTATTTACCTCACACATTTTGATCAATATTTCTACATTTGTCGCATAATGCACTAGCTAGCATCAAGAGTGAATTATGATGGGATATAAATATTAAATATTTGTTTGGAGTCTTACTAGTTAATAATCTCCTACAATCCTTTAAATTTGATATAGAAGAGTGTTAACAGTCTCTCATATTAAAAAATATATACATTAATGTTAGTATAAATGGGAAGAAGGAAAGAGAAGAACTGCTGACAACTGTTATACCTGGGGCTATCGCTAACATTGCTCTTTGATGTAGTATTGTTTCTAATCTTTAAAATAATATATTCAAAGATAAACACTACTAATGGGCCGTTCACTTTAGGATGTCTAGGCTTGACCCATTATGAATTGGGGAAGATGGGTAGATTGGGCCTTCCTTGAAACTTTTGGAGTTACATTTTCGTGGCCAGTCTGGCCTATTTGATACCTCTCTTCGGTTTTTCATCTTGGAGTTTTGGTTGACTGACTTGACTTGAGTATGTTCATGGTTTTTTCTAAAAAAGTAGTAATGGGGTATTATTTTTTTTGCCGAAATATCTACTCTAATTGGCTCTTTGTATTGTGCCTGTAGTTTATTCTTTTTAACTACCACTAGTTCTTGAACCGTTATAAATACCCTTTCCCTCCCTCATTTCTTCATATCTTGCATTGCGCCTCTGCTTCCCAACTTTCCTCTCTCTCCCCCATTGTGTGTTTGAAGTTAGGTAGTCATACAACTTTTACATACCCAACTCTCTTTACTCTCCCAACTTCTTGCTCATTCATTTTCAGTTCTCATTTTGCTTCAAAACACAACTCATTTCCTCTTTCTTTGACACAAGATGGGTGAGAACGCTGCTACCATGAACCACCCCCAACACCACCACCACCACTTCAACCACCAAGTCTTCGACATCTCCATTGATGTGCCTACTCAAAACGGCTCCAAATGCTTTGATGATGATGGCCGCCTCAAACGAACTGGTAACTCAATTTCCCTTCTCTGTTTTCCTCACTTTAAACTTCATTTTAACCAAATTATTGCCATGTTTAGGGACCATATGGACTGCAAGTTCCCACATAATCACTGCTGTGATCGGCTCCGGAGTGCTGTCGTTGGCATGGGCTATAGCTCAACTTGGTTGGGTCGCCGGTCCTGCTGTCATGTTCTTGTTCTCTTTTGTTACTTACTACACTTCATCTCTTCTCACTGACTGCTATCGGACTGGTGACCCCGTTTCCGGCAAAAGAAACTACATTTACACGGACGCCGTTCACTCTATTCTTGGTATATTTTTCTGGCAACTTCTTCACAAACTTGTTTGATATTATTTCGTCTTGATTTTCTTTTACTCAGCTAATAATCTTTTATGTTATCCGGATAGGTGGAGCAAAAGTCAAGGCTTGCGGGATGGTTCAGTATTTGAATCTTTTTGGTATTGCCATTGGATATACCATTGCAGCATCTATAAGCATGATGTGAGTGTTATTCTTTTAAGATGGCTATTGTATGTCTGGGAATCTTTGGTTAATTGTTTTGTTGTTTCAATTCAATTGGCAGGGCAATCAAAAGGTCTAACTGTTTCCACGAGAGTGGTGGAAAGAACCCGTGTCATTTGTCAAGCAATCCATATATGATCTTGTTTGGAATCATGGAAATTTTCCTTTCTCAGATCCCAGATTTTGATCAAATATGGTGGCTCTCAATTGTGGCTGCAGTTATGTCTTTTACTTACTCTTCCATTGGTCTTGGCCTCGGCATTACCCAAGTCGCAGGTTTGATTTGCTTATTTAATCTAATCAAATTTCAAATTTCCTAAAGTTTAATGTTTACTGAGCTCTACGGAAGCTGAGTCTATCATTTTGTTGTGTAAATTATCAGCAAACGGAGTTATTAAGGGTAGTCTCACGGGAATAAGCATTGGAACTGTAACGCAAACGCAAAAGATATGGAGAAGTTTCCAAGCTCTTGGGGACATCGCCTTTGCATACTCATATTCAGTCATCCTAATTGAAATTCAGGTACAAAATTTTGGATATTTTTATCCAGCAAAAGAAAATATACAATTGGCAAAGCTATGAATGACTAAAAATTTTACACTTAATTCTGACAGGACACAGTAAAATCCCCACCAGCAGAATCAAAAACAATGAAGGCGGCAGCCAAATTAAGCATTGCCGTCACAACAGCTTTCTATATGCTTTGTGGATGCATGGGCTATGCCGCTTTTGGTGACTTTGCCCCTGGAAATCTCCTCACTGGTTTTGGCTTTTATAACCCATTTTGGCTTCTTGATATCGCCAACGCCGCCATTGTGGTCCACCTAGTTGGCGCATATCAAGTATTTTGCCAGCCAATATTTGCCTTTATTGAAAAACAAGCAACACAAAGATGGCCCGAAAATTACTTCATCACAAAAGAATTCAAAATCCCAATTCCAGGCTCGAGTGCTCCATTCAAACTTAACCTCTTTAGATTGGTCTGGAGAACGTGTTTTGTGATCTTGACAACAATTATATCAATGTTGCTTCCATTCTTCAATGACGTTGTTGGAATTCTTGGGGCACTTGGGTTTTGGCCTTTAACGGTTTATTTTCCAGTGGAGATGTATATTGCACAAAAGAAGATACCCAAATGGAGCACAAGATGGATATGTCTCCAAATTTTGAGCATGGCTTGCCTGGTACTGTCGATTGTGGCTGGTGCCGGTTCCATTGCTGGTGTGATGCTTGACCTTAAGGTTTACAAGCCATTCAAAACAAGCTATTAATTGATTAAATCCACGGCTTATAAATATATATATATATCTTTTTACCAGGTTAAGTTTTCAATTGTTGTAAGAAAAAGCAAAGGCCTAAAGGGGGTGCTGTTTAATTTGGTGTGCGGTTCATTTATAGTTTTAACTTTAGTTGGATTTGTTGTCGTTTTAGTAATTGTTGTTTCAACTTTCAAGAGTCAAAAAGGATAACTTGGGATGTAAATTATGCAATGTGTATTCCAGTATATGGATCTCTATTAGTTTCTTTCCAATTTTTCTTAATATTTGTTGCCAGAATTTATGTTTACTAGATCATGCTTTATCTTTGAATTAATGACACGTTGGGAATCGCAATAATCTTAATGAATTTTTCGCTGATTTTATCCATTAGTAAAAAGTGCTTTGGAATAACAAAAACTATGTAATTAATTAATAAGTTGTTGGGACTCTTAATTGCTCTAAAAATATAGAATAATTTACAAATTCAATATAAAATTTTTTAGAATAATATTATACCTACAAAGACTTTATGCAATGTTTTTTTTACAAAGTAACGTGTCTATTATAATTGAATTAATTAATACAAGAATTCAATTTAATAAACTCAAATAATGATAGTAAATGATATAATAATATATGAATGATTTTGTATAGAGTCTTTTTAAATTTATTGTAGTCTTTATCACTTTTATATATATACAAACTAATTTGTGAAACCAATTCAAAGGAAAAAATATGATGATAAAAGGTATTATCAAATCAATTTTTGTATAAATATGGATAATTTATATGTAAAGCGCTACTAAAAAATATGAATTAACCAACATTCATCACATACCAATAATCATTAATTTGTTCAAGGTTTAGGTTTATTTTAAATAACGAAATACCTCAACGCAAAGATGAAACTAAGATTTAATATCAGGAGGCAAGAAATATTCTATTTGTCTTTTTTAGTTTTTACTCTTTACTTGAATTCTAATTGATAAAAAAAAAAAAATTGATTAATAAAATGGCTATCGTCTTAAACAAACAAAACCTTATTTATTTAATAAATAATTGAAAAAAATAGTTTTATCTTTAAAATAGTGTAGTGAATAAATCATACTAAACTAAAAAAAAAAAATTAATAAAAGTTTTGAGTGAGGTTAGTAATCCCCACTTGCCGCAACATGAGTCTGTCGTCAGCCTGTGAACAAGCAATACTTCTCTTCTTATTATTATTATTTTCAAGAAGAAACTGCTTCTCCCCAGACCACTGGTTCTCCCAAAATCATAGAAATAAAAAATGTGACATAAACGAAACTTAAAATAGAAAAATGAAAAGGTTAATAAAAGTAATTAATACAACCATGTAACTCCTACTGGAAACAAAGAATAAAATATAGGAGAAGCTTTTCAGAAATCACATTGACAGCATGGTATCAATAACTTTAAGCCTTTAAATAAATCTAAAACTGCTGCACTTTCGGAACCTACTTTTAACATGTTAAAACTTTTGGAAACCGACACTTTACTCCCAATGGTTTTTAAGTTTCGAAGTTGAACTTACATATCTTGACTTTACTTATAAATTTTTGCGTTAAAAGTAACTGTTGACTGATCTGATTCAATGTTGTTTGATGCATGAGGTGTACTCATTGCTTAAACAAACTAAGCTCTGTCATGGATTTGCATGTTGTTTAAGTACTGGTCCTGTTATGATTTGTGCATCCAGTCAACTAACTTCCTCTCTTCTCTTCGTCTCTTTCACACTTGAAGAAAAGAGCTACCCTATGTTGCATGCCTCAATATGTTATCCCTAAATGGAGAGTTAACCTAAATCTGTTATTCAATGCCTGCATAATTCTAAATTGATCAAGACTAGATGAGCTAGACGTTTATTATTCTCTCTTTCTCTTCTAATCATCATCATTTTTTAGAAAGAAATAAGGTTGTGGACGAGCGGGGTAATATCGGACTCTACTTCTCGACTGATTTCGGCTCTTGGATGGATCATAGCCCTCCATTTGAGATTCAGACTGATTTCAGTTTAGATTTAGGGTTTCATGTATCCATTGTGTCGCTTTATGCATTGTTTTTTCTTGAATTGTTATATTTGAGAAGTAAAGGAGTGCTAGCGACAGTTGTAGGTGCAATAATCCCTAACCTGCTCATGTCACGTGTCTAAAACAAATATAGTATATTGTTCTTTAATTAAACAATAATGTTACGGACACCGATTTTTTGCACCAAATTTTTGTATAGAAGGACTTGACATCCAGTCAAACACAACCATATTAGAGACAAAACACATCTTCCATAAATGAACGACCGTCCAACAATTATGGACCAACATCCATATTTAATGGACGGCCGTTCATCGCGAATGTACGATCATTTATCACAAATGGACAACCATCCACCAATTGGGAGGAATTGTTATACCAAAATAACAATGGACTGTCGTCCATATTGAATGGATGGGAGTCAATTTCCTATGGATGGGAGTCCACCTCGAATGGACACCCGTCCATAATTTAAATTATAAAAAAATAATAATAGACGTCCGTCCATATTATATGGACTGGTGTCCATTTTCAATGAGAACATAACTTGTCAAATTATTTATTTAAAATGAGTGGGTAACTTGAAATGAAAAAGCAAAAGGCATAAGCCTGATAGTTGAATATGAGGAAGACAAAAAAAATTCCAACTTTTTATTAGACCACAAACATATATTTTCTCTTTCTTGCACATAGACAAAGTCTTGCAACATTTTAGGACCACATAAGGAAATTGTGACACATGTAAAGTTAGGTCACACAAGAATATCATAAATCAAAATAAAGTTAATGGGCAAGACAACAAAGAGAAAACGTCATTTGTCAAAATGTGTCACCATAACATAAGTTTGATAAAAATATCAACAGATGCATTGGTGATGGACGTCCATCTATATTATATGGACGGGCGTCCATATGAGGTGGACGTCAGTCCATAGTAAATGGACTCCCATCCAAATAATATGGACGGGAGTCCATTGTTATTTTTGTGGACGCCATCCATTTGTGATGAACGATCGTTCATCAAATTTGGACGAACGTCCATAATTATTGGATGGTCATTCATTCACGAAAGACGAGTGTTATCTCTAACGTGGTTACGTCTAACTGGATGTCACATACATCGGTACAAAAATTTGGAGTAAATTATCGGTATCCATAGCATTATTCTTAATTAAAATAGACACATGTTACTAGGAAAGTTAGCAATGGTCGCACCCGCGACTCTCGCTATAGCACTTCCCTTCAGAGATAAGGTTTATTATGATCAGTCCATTCTTTCTTTCTTCGTATCATAAATTTGGGTAATGCTACATGTAACGTATAGATTAAGTATAAAAACTATTGTATATCTTTTTATAAATTGATATATTACAACTCTTTTATTAGTTGTCACACCATGCATATATATTGATGGAGCATTCTTAAAATTAACTTTTTGTACAGATTCATTCATTTACTTTGTACAATGTCAATTAGTTTAGAAGAGTTTGTATATAGAGTTTTAGATGTATTATTCAATAAATATTCTTGTACAATCAAAGTTTCCTTAAAAAATACACCCCTATACTCAGTATCTGACTTCCATGTGTAACCCAAAATTAATTTGTAATATTTATACTGTCTAACATTTCATATTACGACATTTTACAGCATGATTTAATAGTATATATACTTTATGTACATGTTGCTACAATATATGTAATGAAAAAAATCAAATGTTTATAATCAGTTCTTAAGCATTAAATAGAATCTGATGAATTTCATATCACTTTTCATGCAAGGCACTAATTAATTTCTAAAATATCTATATGCACAGAAGGAAAAAAAAAAAAAAAAGCATATAAACAAGTTGACAATTATAAAGTTTGGACATTTAAGTTTTCTTTGTGCATCACCACTAAAAGTGGCTATGGGTTGTGAAATTAACCCTACAGCTTCAATAAAGTGAACACAGAAGCAGAATCAGAAGAGATGCTAAAACAGGAAGAGTGTTGTTTGGTTGAAGTCATATATCTTAACATATTGGATGGTACACAAGAAAAGAAATTTCAACGTAATATAGAAGCTTCATCAGCACCACTGAAAGTGCAGTTTTATTCCTTAAAACAATCATCAGTAACATAATTAATTATGAAACATTCATCAAAACCTTGCATGGTGGGATCCTGTCCATCGGATGGAATGACGACAAGAACCCTACGAGTATTATTATGAAGGAATACCTGGAGGAAAGAGGTTGATCAAAAGTTGAATTTCATGGAGTACGTAGAAATATTTTATTGAGCAATGGCTGACGGTGCATTTGAGACCATGCGTATAAATGGGGTCAGTATTAAGAGAATCTTAATGAGGTGAGGATGATAAGTGGTCCAAAACATCTAATCAATTCAAATGTGAAAATACAGAAGATGATATATATTTTTTTCCCTTAACGTAACATGCCATCGGTGTTTTTAGTTATATATAAATATATGAGAAAAAAAGATTCGTGACACGCAAGGGCAAAGGGTTTAGAGTAAGGGTGTATTTTAGCTCAGCCGAGCCGAGTATCTGGCTATTCGAGCTCAGCTCGACAACTACAGTACCGAGCTCGAGCTTGAGCCTAAGCTCGACCAAGCTAGCTTGAGGTGTTGTGCTCAAGCTAGAGCTTCACACCGAAATAGGGTATTTGAGCTCGGATTAAGCTCGAGTATATTTGGCTCGAGCAGATGTCAAGCTCGACAAATCTGCTACAAAAAACCCCCAACGATACAATGAAAAAAGTTGCCACCTAAAATTAGATGTGAAAAATTTGTAGACTGACCCATCTTATCAAAAGCAAGAAAGGCAAGAGTGGCAAAGAGGAAAACGAGACTGCCAGAGAAAGAGTAAAAGTGTTTTGTATTTCTGTTTTGTATTATATGTTTGTACAACCTTAATTTATGCAGAAAATAATGGACAAGAAAGGAAATACAATTATGTAATAGTAATCAGGGAACTGATTGATGCATGATTTTTAGGGAACAGTCTCAGGGATTAGCCGTAATTGTAGTGATTGGCGTGATTGCAGTGATGAGGCATAATCATAGCATTTATGTTAGATTCCACATTCCGTCACTCCCCCTCAAGTTTGTGGTTTGTAGATGTCATAAACTCCAAGTTTGTGCAATAGATGTGAATATTGTCTACTACATAATGGCTTTGTGAAAATGTATGCTGGCTACTTCGAGGTTCAGATGTGTATAGTTTTAATCATACCTTCTTGAATCTTTTCTCTAACGAAGTGACAGTCAATCTTTATATATTTTGTTCTTTCATGAAACACTAGGCTTGTTGCGATGTTGTTTGCAGCTTTGTTGTCGGAGTATAGCTAGAGTGACAAGACCTTTTACTTGTACCTTTAGATCCTTTAGAAGCCTAAGAATCTAGAGGATCTCACATGTAGTATTGGTCATGGCTTTGTATTCAGCCTCTGCTGATGAAACAAGTAACGGTCGACTATTTCTTTGTCTTCCATGAGATAAGCGATCCTTCAAGTTTTACACAGAAACCAGTAAGTGATTTTCTTGTCGTTGGACATATAGCCCTATCTGAATCACAATATGCTAATTACTTCCAAATCTCCATCATGGGGCAAGAGAAGTTCGAGGCCAAGGCATCCTTTTAAATATCTGAATACCTTTATTGTTGCATCCATGTAGAATTGTTTTGACACATGTATGAATTAACTAAGGACATGTAGTGCATAGTTGATATATGGCTGTATCATTGTAAGGTAAATAAGTCGCCCTACAAGTCTTTGATAGTGTGAGGGATCATTTAGTGGCAAATCATCTTTTGAAGGTAATATCCCGTCATATTCTCGAGAGGTGAATTTTTAGTATTTTGCTCAACATGTATAATGCTTGGTTTACAAGCTAACAATCCATAATCAGATATGAGCTTTAGAACATATTTGCGCTAACTGAGAGATATATCAGTTGGAGACCTTGAAATCTCAATTCCCAAAAAATATTTTGGCTCTCCCAAGTCTTTGACATGGAATTGTTTGTTAAGACGGTTTTTTAGTGCTCTAATGGTTGTCTCATCATTTCCAATCACAAATACAATAATAAGAAAACAAAGAACATAGCCTTGAGAGTTAACTTGCCGAACCTCTTTAAAAATCCTTTTGCATCTTTATTCTCGATTTATTTGGTAATTATTTATAATTACGCGGCCATCATTTTCGATTCTGTTAAGGTCAATCGAATACATTGTGTGTGTGGGTGTGGGTGTTTGGGTGGTTGTGTTAATTTAAATAATATTGGTTTCTAATTAAAAAAAAAAATCATTTTAAAGTTTTTCGGGAATGAACAAGTATGGGCAAGAGGACGGATTTTGCCTTTTCCATCCTCATCCTCGGCCCAAAATTTCTAGGATAAGGACGGGTTGGGGTATTACGTTTGGTGTGCGAGGGTGGGGAGAAGGAAAACATTACTCATCCCCATACCCGAAAATTGCCAACCCTAGTTAAATATTTAAATGTAATAACATTCCCTTTCCCTCCAAAGTAGTGTAAGAATGTCCTATAAATAGGGGTTCATGTGAATTGTAAGCACTATTTCCAGGAATAGAAAGACAAGTTTTCTTCGGTGTTTTCTATATTTTCTCACTTTGAAGATCTCAGGACCTTCATTCAAAAAAAAAAAGAAAAAAAAATTGGTTCTATCTATAATTAAACATACTGTAAGCCTGTAAATAGGTTAAATTATTGAAAAAGTGACAAGGCATTTTGTGAAGAGTTCAACTTCACTATAGATGGAAGAATTCAATCTTAAAGCAACTTATTTATCAAATAAGTTATACCTATTTTTGNCTCAGGACCTTCATTCAAAAGAAAAAAAAATCGTTCCATCTATAATTAAACATACTGTTAGTCTGTAAATATTGAAAAAATGACAAGGCATTTTGTGAAGAGTTCACTATAGATGGAGGAATTCAATGATTCAATCTTAAAGCAACTTATTTATCAAGTAAGTTATACCTATTTTTGGCATGATCCTAACAGTCAACGTTGCCCTATTAACTGCCTATCCTAGTTTTGTGTTATTGTCATGTACATAGATCGAATCACAAATTGCAGCAAGAACAGGTAGGTTTTCTGCAGTAAAAAAGGACAACAAAAATGAAAGTTTCATCTCATAGGATAACATTCAATGACATTACCATTGAAACAAACATTTTAATTATAAGATAAAGTACACCAACAAAAAATTAAAAATAAAAATAAAAAAAGTTCATTGTCTTCACCAGTAGTAGTACAATTTGACATTTACAAGTCATGAGGATACCCAAAAAAAACATGCCAGCAATGGCATCTGTCTGGTCCTCATAAACCGATTCTAGCATCTCCAAAGGCAATAACGAAAGTTTATTCATGTAGGGATATTAAACTCTTACTCATTTGACATCAGCCTCCGGAACACTTATATCGCTCCCGTTACCTCCACCTACCTGCAAAAGTATGCTAAACACTTACCCACCAAGGAATTTATTTATACAATGCCTTCAACCTGAATGGTCATTCAATTTCCACAACAATGTATATATGCATGGGGCGAGAGAAATGGTGATGAAAAATTAACAGACAGAAAACTTAGAAATTTAATATAATCAAAATTTGACAAAAATAAAAGGTTGTCTGAAATTTGGAGGATTTTAGGGAGAACAGCTTACGGAGTCATCAGGAACAACAGCATATCTCTCTGATGGTGAGACCCAGGTTTTCCCTATACACAGTGGATGTAAGATTTATGAAGAAGAAAAGACAATATCGACAAAAGCAAATTCCAATTCAACATTAACAGAAAAATACAGTTAATGAGAATTGCATGGCACCTGATGATGAATCGATGTTAGAGGATTCTATATGTTGGCCACTCGATCCATCAAGGCTCAATGGCTCTATAATAATTGGAATATTCCTTTCAAAAATACAAAATAACTGTCGTTAGTTTGGGACTTGGATGCCGAAATGAGATCAATATGTGAGAGCACTCGATCTTAAGTTTGTTACGAGTAAGAAGTTTACAAAAAATATCAAAGACATTTGATTCTGACACTTCGAATTTAAAACAAAAAACAATAAAAAAACAGATTTCTCAGATCTTAATTCATTTCATCTAATCATATACCAAACAATCAGTTCAGTGGACACAACATTTGCATTCCAAAGATCTTAATGCATTTAATGAATCAACTCTTGAATGTGTTAATGCTTATACACATTGCTCCCTTTAGCTCTTGTCATTAGAAACAGTCGTTTCCCTTCAAGAATTGGGAGAGTGTATTATCTATAACCATCACAACATTTGACATTCAGTTTTTACATCAGTTCTCTATTACTCTTTGTTACTTCTTCCTGAATCTCTATCTTCAAAATTACTGGTTACTTCCAACATTTTCTTCCATTTTCTTCTGCATCTAAATTGCAGATTTGAAAGATAAATATAGAATGTATCATGGCTATACTATATGTAGTAGTATACAACATAACGTGAGTAAGATCTATTACCCAAAAGGTCTTAAATATCTTATTAATTCATTCATCAAGTCAAAATGATAATATTTCAAGCAATAAACATTTAGGAAGATATTAAACAAGATGTGAATCCTATTACCGGTCAGAAGATTGTCCATGACCAAGCTGCCCATTTGTACCTCTTCCCCAAGAATATACATTTTGCCGATCAGTGACAGCAAGTGTATGTCTCCATCCACATGAAATCTGAACTACCTTCTGTCGATTGCCAAATAAAAGATCAAAAGCTAAAATTTCAGACTCAGAAAGATGGTCACAAACAAGACAGAAAATAACCCTGTCAGATAAGTTAAAAGGAGAAAATTCTACGGAACTGCAGGTCAATCTCATGGCCTATTTTAACCAATTTTCGGGAGCTACAGTAACAAGAATGTGCCTGGTCATGAGGAAAATTCACTTGCACAGGAGAGCAATGATCGGCATTGTCACCAACTCCAACCTGTCCAAACTGTAAGACATAGAGAACAAAGTTTATAACAATTAAATTAAGACTACAGAAAATATCAAAAGATAAATCAAATAAAGAAAAGTGAAAGTTCATTGTGACAAATTTTCATCAAGAAATCAATTTTGGATGTTAAAATTAGGGGAAATAGTTCAATTGTGAAAATTAAGGAAATTGATGACAACCTTATTCCAACCCCAGCCATAAAGTTTTCCGTCAAATGTAAGGGCCATTGTATGTCTCCAACCACCTGATATCTGCTAAAAAGAAAAAATGCCACCTGGAGGATCAGAAATAGGTTCGTAATATACTAAGTTAACAAATATTTTTTAAGCAAAATGCCTTCCTTCTTTGCTTTATAGTGAAAGTATCAACCAGAAAAGAAAGCCTTCTTTGATGTCTCTATCCCAAAACTAAATCAGCAAGTTTGAATTTCCAAAAACTTAAAACAGTTTACAAGCAACACATTGACTACTGCGTGGACCTCAAATCTAAACATGTGACGCAAGTTGTCTGCCTATTCAAGAATCAAACAAAAGGACCATCGAATGCATTTTTCAATTTGACTGTATGAGGCAGAAAAACTCAGCTGTAACTGGAAGGTCCATGATACATTCAAATTTTAATACCAAGTTAATATCCATCCTACTACAAATTTACAGAAATTTAAGGGAAAATAATATGAAAAATTAGGATCTTGAAGCTACTGATCGTAAATCACAGAGGAAAACTTTACTAATGGAATTGAATGACTAAGAGATCACCTGAGATATAAAGCTGTCACGCAATGCTTCCAGCTTATGAGGGACAAGGTGATCCTTAAAGTCCCCATGGCCTAGTTGACCATATTTGCTCCATCCATAAGTGTACAACCCACCGGAAGAAGAAACAGAAATGGTGTGTCGCCATCCACAAGCAACCGTAACCATCCTTTCTCCCTGCAACTTTGAATGATAACAGCTTGATCTTTAGAGCAAGAAAAGACTTAGGTGGAAAGAAAACTAAACAAGAACAACCGTTAAACCTGATAAGCACAAATAAAAACAAACTCTCAATATTACCTACAGTAAGAAATTGCTAAGAATCTAAGGAGATAAAGAATTAAAAATAAAAATAATAAAAAAAATCCCCTTTTATATGCTATACATTACGGATGAAACTAGAACGACCAGTTATATGGTTACTTTTGAATTCTTTATTTCAAGTATAGATTACATCAACCATGCATAATCATCACCTTCAGAGAAATTGCAAATAATCCTAATCATATAAAGAAACTATCAAACTATATTTGCGCTGCATATCGATGGTTTATGCATTGAAAAATTGAGATGATAGTTTAGGTTGTTAAATAATACTAAAATCAAATAAAATGACACCAGTTTGTGGACATACATTAAGAGTAGAAATTTTCTCCGGAATTAGGCGATCATTTCTGTCACCTAAGCCCAGGTTTCCATAACGGCCCCAACCCCATCCATAGAGCTCTCCATTTTCTGTAACAGCCACAGAATGTTCGGCTCCAGCAGCAACCATTTTGATAGACACTCCCTACAAAAGATGAATGAAATTTAAAGAGCATAAAATATTTTAACAAAGTTCCTCAATGTGGACTAAAACGAAAACGTTTGATACGACACAAAGTAATAATATTACTCTTCCACTTATCTCAAAGAAAAATCCTTGTGAAAGATTTTCTATGATGGAAGTGACATCCTGCCCTTATATTAATAATTCTTTTTCGGGTAGACCTTGAATATATAGCCAATACTTTTACCTACGTTGGTCAATAAATTAAATATAGAAGCATCCAAGATATGTACCTATATGGGAACACTTTATAAGTTACAAATACTACAGTTTCTCGGTATTAACAAAATCATTTCATGCTTACAAATATACACTCTGCTACAGTTGTAAAAATATGATAAAAAATAGTAAATTTAATCTGGTGTTAAAATGAGAGGCTCAAATTTTTTACAGCAAAAATTTATATTTAAGTGTGGAACATCTATATTAATGTCCCTAAAACGAACAAAGTAACATAAATTACCTGAAAGGCTTGAATTTTTTGAGGCACAAGAGCATCTTCAGTGGTTCCAAGACCAAGTTGACCATTTTGATTCCTCCCCCAGCTTAAATAGAATACAAAACTCAATCAGTAAAGCATTTCCCAAGTTATATGCTTAAAACTGTCACAAACATGCTGAAACAGAACCACGTCAAAAGCATATACTATTCAACATCGTTTTTGTGGAGATATAATAAATTTATCATCTGATGCAGTAAATATTAGATGCAGAATCAATTAAGTTAAAGATAATTTAAGTTATATGATTACAACTCTAGCACCAACGTAAAATAACATGAAACAAAATGTCAAAATAGTTGCCGTTACTGACCACCACCAAATAACTGAAACATCATATATTACCATCGCAACCTAGTACATACTTCGACCAATACATACCTATATCAAATATTACATTATTTACTAATAACTGCCTTCTGTAAACATTTTACCATAACAAAATGAAGTGTCATGTCAACCAAATACCTGTTCGCTAGACTGTTAACACTACCTTCTAGGTACCGTCATTCTTCATAGAAAACAGCAAGTATTGCACATAGTATATGTATATGTTTAGTAAAGAAGATGAAGAAATTGAATACACTTATGACTGAAGAAAAGAGATAAAGGAGTAACATTTTACAACTAATAAGATTGTAAGATTCCAAATATTCACTTTTTCATTTTTCCCTGACTTTTATTTCACATGGAGCACAGCGTTTTCTCATAGCAAATACAAGTACTGAAACATGAAGCATTTCAGAAATAACAAGTACTTACTCACTTGTGTTTGCGTCAGATAATCACAAAAGATTTTTAAATGTAATATAGAATTCTTCATATGGTTGCAAAACTGGAGTTCTGAAATTAACTGAGGAATCTTAGGGATTTCAGGACTAAGATTAACATTCCAGCAATCCCCCAAAACTACCGCAACCAGTTTATTGTTATAACACAAGGCTCAAAAGAACAAAGAACGAATTACAAGGATTTTTTCAAAACTACTGTGGATCTACTTAATGAAAAGCTTCTATATCAGTTATAACTAGCCTGGATAAAATCATGAAGGCCTTAGAGTGCAGTGATTTGATAACAATCTGCTGTCCATTTAGCTAAAGGCTGATCATTCGTGTCCAGCATAATGGTTTCATGAAACATTTTTAAGTAATCAGACCACCTATGTTCATAGAAACAGTCCCCCCTTGCAAAGAGAATGAGACCCCTCAAACTAACTTTTGACACCCTCATCTGAATTATAACTTTCAGTCAACAGCAGTTGGTTCAAAATAAAGACCAGGTGTTCAGCCCTAATAGGTGGCCAATTGACTAAATACTGTCTGACGCTGACAACCACAATTATAACAGATAAAGTAGGCAAGGTATACAAGCCTCAACCCCGCAGAGACGGACTTTAGCTTATCTTATGTTCTTCTCATTATTCTTCTGTCGTGTTAAGAGGAGATTGAAGAGTTTGTTCTTTAGTTTGCTATTGAATTAGTCTTATTCATTCTCCACCTCTTAAATATGAACATATAACTTTTGCCAGAGAAATTTCTCAGTAAGCTTCAACCATTTTGAACTACAGACTGTTATCCACCCTTGTAAAAAGGTTTGAGGAATTTTCATGTTGTCACTAGTAAGCTCAAGCCAAGGGAAAGTCAATCGACTATAAAGCTTTTTGGGCTTTGGGTAGAGGACAACTTCTAGTAGCTTGAAAGTGTAGGCACGGCCAAGGTTGGTCAAATCATTGTTTTAAAACCCGGCCGGGCTGGGCTGGGCTGGACCGATTCGACCAGTGAGCCGGGCCGGGAGAGCCTAAAAACCAAGGGGGGGGATTCACCAGGGGTTGGACTGGGGGTACTGTAGCAACCCGCCGGTCCAACCGGTTTTTGGAAAAAACCGGGTGAATCAAAATGCAGAAAATGGCGACTTCTAGCTAGTGTTCAGCCGGCACACATGTGGGTGTTTTGAAGGGTGGATCACGGTGAGTCAAAGGTGGTGTTTGATTAAGTTTAAGTAGCCAGAATCACCGGAATTTGGCCAAGAAACAGCAAAACCCTAGCTTCTGATTGCCACCGATTGGTGGGTGGAATGGCTTGGGAACTTTAGGGGTTTTGTAAATGAGTAGACGGTGAGTCTAAGGATGGTGCTGGTTGAAGTTGTCGTCGCTCAAAACGGCCGGAATCTGGCAAAGGACGACCGAAAAAACGTGTTTTTCATCGCCAGCGATCAGCGAGTGATGAGAGGGGATAAAGAGTATGGTTTTGAAGAGGAGATGGCGGGGGTTCCAGTGGTGGTAACAAGGGTGATTTTGGGTGAGAAAACAGCCAAAAAAAGGACAAAGAAGGCCGATGTCAATGCATGTTAACATGCGCTAGAAATAGTCACCATGCTAACTACGCCGATACAAAAATTTTGAAATTCTTTCAGGTGACACATCACCGTCGGGGGCGGGGGATTCACCCGAGGGTGGACTGGGGGTACTGTAGCAACTGCCAGTCCAACCGGTTTTTGTAAAAAACCGGGTGAATCAAAATACAGAAAACGGCGACTTTCGACAGGCAAACATAAGGGGGTTTTGAAGGCTGGATCACGGTGAGTTGGAAGGTGGTGTCTAACTAAGTTTTAGTCGCCGGAATCGAAATAGCAAAACCCTAGCTTCTGATTGCCGGCGATTGGTGGATGGAATGGCTTGGGAACTTTGGAGGTTTTTAGGGGAGTAGCCGGTGAGTCTAAGGGTGATGGTGGTTGGAGTTGTCACTCAAAACAGTCGGAATCCGGCAAAGGACAGTTGGAAAAACGCGTTTTTTGTCGTCGGCGATCAGCGAGTAATGAAAGGGGATAAAGGATATGGTTTTGAAGAGGAGAGGGTGGGGGTTCCAATGGTGGTGACGGGGGTCATTTTGGGTGAGAAAACAGCCAAAAAAAGGAAAAAGAAGACCAACGTCAACGCGTGCTAACGTGCGCCAGAATTAGTCGCCATGCTAACGAACGCCGATACAAAAATTTTGAAATTTTTTTAGGTGACACGTCACCGATTTGACCCACCAATCAAACCGGTCAACTAGCGACCCGGCTTCTTTGCTAGGTTTACCCCCAAGTTGGTTTTTAAAACATTGGGTCGAATCATAGAAAACCTATCATGTTTGAGTTATAATTTGACTCGAACAAGTAATATCTCTAAATCCCTAAAAAGGAATTGCTTCTCAATAGTAAGCCTTAAATTCATGGTGGTGCATCACTGTGTTTCAAAGCACGTAAGCAACCACTTGAGATTTGGACCAAAGCAATAGCTAATCTAAACTGAAATAAATCAACATCAATGCATTATAGAATGAAGCGAGAAAGTTTGAGGAAGACCCCTAACCTCTGAACCTCTCCCTCCATGGTCACTGCTAAACAATGGCTGTCCCCACAAGCAATTTGCTTTATCCTCAAACCATGCAATGCTTTAATCGGCTGGGGAGTGAACAAGTCACTAGAATTGCCATGGCCCAGCCTTCCAAAGTCACCCCTGGAAAATTTTGAATAGAGAAAAATAATGCTGACATGCCATACAATAAAGAAAGAGCAATTAAGAAAAAATTCTTTTGATAAGCAGGTCGTGACATGAAAATTAGCATTTGTCAAGGTTTAGTATATGGAACAGAATAACATAAAACATGTAATACAATAAGCCATGTTGATTTATGAGATATAAGATATTATAATTCATAGGCACAAGACCAGGAGACAATGAAATAAAACCTCTTGTCATATTAAAATCTTCAATTTTCAGTAAAAAAAATTCAGGACCGTAACCAGAAAAGCAGTATCAATAGTAAATGTTATTATTGCAAAAATATAAAAACTTGTATAAGATTGGGAAAGAAGTAATTACAATAACTGAACAATCAGTAATCTCGAACACAAAAATGAAACCAAAGCAATCACCAGCTACCATAGCGCCCATCCAATCACTTTCAAAGAAGTGGAATGCCTTCTCTAACTTATTTGATCTCAATGACTGTATCCAAAAAATATTTTTGCAAACAATTAGACAAAAAACATTTTCTTGAAATTTCTTGGTTCCCTTGTCCTCAGAAACACAGAATTTTATTTAAATTCCACATCAAACAGGCCTAAAAAGAAAATCAAGAATTTATGTTGCAGAGAAAGCATATCAAATTGGAGATCCCAAGAGACAAAAGGGAAAGGTAGAGAACAAACCATCCCCAACTATAGACTTCCATACGTGACTCAGAATATGCAGTTGTATGATCAGCTCCACAGGTAACAGACACTATTTCAAGATCGTCAAGTGCACTCAATTGAGTAGGAGAAAGTCGATCCTCAGCATCGCCGTGCCCTAACTGCCCATCTTCTCCTCGTCCCCATGAGCACACAAGGTTTCCAGCTGTAAATGATCATAATATCACTCTTCATCATATTAATAACAAATTTTAGAAGTATTGCAATTGATCTACCAGCTGCATATACGCCAAGTAAAATGAAGGGAATTATGCAATCATGACAATCAACAAAAGGATAGCTTCATAGAAACATTCATTTGCATGGAAGTCATTGATGGAAGACATAACAAGTAAGTATCAATGAAGGCAACAAAAAATTTATGTGCTTCTGATGAGTTACAAGCTAGAAATGAAATGAAAGAGGAAAAACATTTAGCACTGAACTCTACAAACACACAAAAATATATTTTTTTTCTTTAGTTCTTTACCACATACACCTGCCCAGCCCAGCCCAGCCCACCATCCCCACTCTCAAACAAATTAAACTGATCCCCCTCCACATGTGGCTTTAAGGAGACCGATCTGTATACCTTTTGCTCCACAGTTGGCTTGAAGCAGTCAACAAAAACAGGAACACTTAAACCTAAGTCATTCCCACATCCAACTGTGATAGCATAGCAATGAGAGAAATTGTATAGCCGTCAAATCAGAACAATGCAGAAACAAATAGTTTCCATTCTCAATTTTATATTGATCATCAACATCACTACAAGCTATATGATCATGTAAATTTACTTACTTCAATCAGCTTTTGCATCACAACAAATTAACAGGTAATGCATTAAATGACAAAGCTTATCCAAGTTCAGAAACAAGTTTCAATACTTGCAGCAAATTGATATTTTCTACATTGTAAAATATGACAAAACTTGATTTTTCTTTTGACTGGAAGTCCAATAAAAGACTAAAAAAACAAAATGAAAGAGAATAAAATTAGGGTAGGAAGAATATACAGAGAAGAGCAACAGAGTGACTTGCACCAGCAGAGATAAGAAGAACCCGACGAAATGAAGTAGAGACTTCACTCATGGTAACTTCAGCCATTATGCTTTCTCTCTTTCTGAGTATGATGATGTTAGAAGAAGGAAGAGAGAAAGAACGTGTTAGTGGGGAAGAAGTCCAAAAAGAGAGAAAGAAAGAGAAAATAGAACTGGGATCTTGTTGGCAGAAAGAAACAATGAATGGTGACCAGAAAGTGGGGAAGAAATATTTATAGTGATGGAGAAAGGACATGTGCGTGAGGGTCTAAGAGTCTATAAGAAGAGACTAGATATTCAACTGACAAGACAGATCAACGGCATTGATGAAGGTGAGGGCCACCGTGAATTTACATGGTCAAATTACGCTCCTGTTCCTGTTTATTCATTCATTCATTCAATATCCACCACAAACTGCGCTCTAACTTTTTAACTACCATTCGCCTATTCCAACTTCAACTTCAAGACTTTCAGATTTCATTTCATCATTCACTAATTAAACGAAGCTTTACATAACAAATACTCCAGCAACTTTAATCTTATAAATAAAAATTTTGCCAAAATTTTCAAAAATAATATAAATAAAAATTTTCCTACAGTTAATGTGTTGTTTATAAAATCTATACATTTTAAAAAATAGAGGTTATTGAGTTGGTTATATATGTCTAAACCTCTTATTTTAACTCATCAATTTTTCAATCACAATAAGCCTTTCAATATTACGGTCCTAACTCTTATTTCTTATTTTTAATTTTAAGGTGGTTTATTTTATTTTATTTGTAATTATTATAAATAACCCTATTTTTATGGATGAATTGAAAAAAAAAAAAAAGTTATTTTTAAAAGTCTTATATTCTATAATCCCCATTTTATCATATTAGTAATTTTGCCCTTTTATGTAAAACCCAACTTCTTCACCTCTTATTCATCGATCCAACCACAAATCTTCTCTCTTACCATCAACTCTCTACAAACCTCAACAATAAATCAATCTATTGCCATACATTTATCATTAAAATAAAAGTAATACTATACATATATCATTTTCATAAAACATTATGTGACAAGATATGATTGGCTGATTTAAAATTAAAATTAAACTTTCACCCAATCATATCTTACCACATAATATTGTATGAGAAATATTGTATGGGAATGATGTATGTGCAGAAATAACAAGCATTACTTGTGTTTGCGTCAGTCAGATAATCACAAAGATTTTAAATGTAATATGAATTTTCCATATGGTTGCAAAACTGAAGTTCTGAAATAAACGAGGAATCTTAGGGATTTCAGGACTAAGATTAACATTCCAGCACCAATCCCCACAAACTACCGCAACCAGGTTATGTTATAACACAAGGCTCAAAGAACAAAGAACGAATTACAAGGATTCTTTCAAAACTACTGTGGATCTACTTAATGAAAAGCTTCTATTCAGTTATAACTAGCCTGGATAAAACATGAAGGCCTTAGAGTGCAGTGATTTGATAACATCTGCTGTCCATTTAGCAAAGGTGATCATTCGTGTCCAGCATAATGGTTTCATGAAACATTTTTAAGTAAAGACCACTATGTTCATAGAAACAGTCCCCCCTTGCAAAGAGAATGAGACCCCTCAAACTAACCTTTGATTCCTCATCTGAATTATAACTTTCAGTCAACTGCAGTTGGTTCAAATAAAGACCAGGTGTTCAGCCTAATAGGTGGCCAATTGACTAAATACTGTCTGACGCTGACAACCAAATTAAACAGATAAAGTAGGCAAGTATACAAGCCTCAACCCCGCAGAGACGGACTTAGCTTATCTTATGTTCTTCTCATTATCTTCTGTCATGGAAGATGAGATTGAAGAGTTGTTCTTTAGTTTGCTATTGAATTAGTCTTATTCATTCTCCACCTCTTAAATATGAACATATAATTTTTGCCAGAGAATTTCTCAGTAAGCTTCAACCATTTTGAACTACAGACTGTTATCCACCCTTGTAAAAAGGTTGAGGAATTTTCATGTTGTCACTAGTAAGCTCAGGCAAGGGAAAGTCAATCGACTGTAAAGCTTGTTGGGCTTTGGGTAGAGGACAGCTTCTAGTAGCTTGAAAGTGTAGGCACAGCCAAGGTTGGTCGAATCATTGTTTTAAAACCGGCCGGCTAGGTGATTGGATCGGTGAGCTGGGCGGACCGATTCGACGGGAGAGCCTAAAAACTTTTTTTTGGGGGGGGGGGGCGAAGGATTCACTAGGGGTTGTGCGTGGGTACTGTAGCAACCCGCCGTCCAACCAGTTTTTGGAAAAAACCGGGTGAATCAAAATGCCGAAAATGGCGACTTAGCAGTGTTCAGCAGGCAAACATGAGGGGTTTGAAGGTGGTCACGATGAGGTGAAGGTAGTGTTGATAAGTTTAAGTCGCCAGAATCACCGGAATTTGGCCAAGAAACAGCAAAACCCTAGCTTCTGATTGCCGACGATTGGTGGGTGGAATGGCTTGAGAACTTGGGGATTTTGTAAGGGAGTATCGGTGAGTCTAAGGGTGTGGTTGGAGTTTGTCGCTCGGCCAGAATCTGGCAAAGGACAGCCTGAAAAACGCTTTTTGTTCTTCGTCGCTGGCGATCAGCGAGTAATGAGAGGGGATAAAGGGTATGGTTCTGAAGAGAAGAGGGTGGGGGTTCCAGTGGTGGTGACAGGGGTGATTTGGTGAGAAAACAGGCGAAAAAAGGAGAAAGAAGGCCAATGTCAATGCATGCTAACATGTGCCAAATTAGTCGCCATGCTAACGTGCGCCAATACAAAAATTTTGAAATTTTTTTAGGTGATACGTCACCAGTTTGACCCACGGTTAAACCGGTCAACCAGCGACCCAGTTCTTTGCAGGTTAGCCCCGGGTGGTTTTTAAAACATTGGGTCGAATCACAGAAAACCTATCATGTTTGAGTATAATTCGACTCAAACAAGTAATACCTCTAAATCCCTAAAAAGGAATTGTTCTCAATAGTAAGCCTTAAATTCATGGGGTGCATCACTGTGTTTCAAAGCACATAAGCAACCACTTGAAATTTGGACCAAAGCAATAGATAATCTAAACTGAAATAAATCAACATCAATGCATTATAGAATGAAGCGAGAAAGTTTGAGGAAGACCCCTAACCTCTGAACCTCTCCCTCCATGGTCACTGCTAAACAATGGCTGTCCCCACAAGCAATTTGCTTTATCCTCAAACCATGCAATGCTTAATCGGCTGTGGAGTGAACAAGTCAATAGAATTGCCATGGCCCAGCCTTCCAAAGTCACCCCTGGAATATTTGAACAGAGAAAAATAATGTTGACATGTTATACAATAAAGAAAGAGCAATTAAGAAAAAATTTCTTTTGATAGCAGGTCATGACATGAAAATTAGCATTTGCAAGGTTTAGTATATGGAACAGAATAACATAAAACATCATACAATACGCCATGTTGATTTATGAGATATAAGATATTATAATTCATAGGCACAAGACCAGGAGACAATGAAATAAAACCTCTTGTCATATTAAAATCTTCAATTTTCAGTAAAAAAAATTCAGGACCGTAACCAGAAAAGCAGTGTCAATAGTAAATGTTATTATTGCAAAATATAAAAACTTGTATAAGATTGGGAAAGAAGTAATTCAATAACTGAACAATCAGTAATCTCGAACACAAAAATGAAACCAAAGCAATCACCAGCTACCATAGCGCCCATCCAATCAGCCTTCCTTCTTTGCTTTATAGTGAAAGTATCAAACAGAAAAGAAAGTCTTCTTTGATGTCTCTATCCCAAAACTAAATCAGCAAGTTTGAATTTCCAAAAACTTAAAATAGTTTACAAGCAACACATTGACTACTGCGTGGACCTCAAATCTAAACATGTGACGCAAGTTGTCTGCCTATTCAAGAATCAAACCAAAGGACCATCGAATGCATTTTTCAATTTGACTGTATGAGGCAGAAAAACTCAGCTGTAACTGGAAGGTCCATGATACATTCAAATTTTAATACCAAGTTAATATCCATCCTACTACAAATTTACAGAAATTTAAGGGAAAATAATATGAAAAATTAGGATCTTGAAGCTACTGATCGTAAATCACAGAGGAAAACTTTACTAATGGAATTGAATGACTAAAAGATCACCTGAGATATAAAGCTGTCACGCAATGCTTCCAGCTTATGAGGGACAAGGTGATCCTTAAAGTCCCCATGGCCTAGTTGACCATATTTGCTCCATCCGTAAGTGTACAACCCACCGGAAGAAGAAACAGAAATGGTGTGTCGCCATCCACAAGCAACCATAACCATCCTTTCTCCCTGCAACTTTGAATGATAACAGCTTGATCTTTAGAACACGAAAAGACTTAGGTGGAAAGAAAACTAAACAAGAACAACAGTTAAACCTGATAAGCACAAATAAAAACAAACTCTCAATATTACCTACAGTAAGAAATTGCCAAGTATCTAAGGAGATAAAGAATTAAAAATAAAAATAATAAACAAAATCCCCTTTTATATGCTATACATTACGGATGAAACTAGAACGACCAGTTATATGGTTACTTTTGAATTCTTTATTTCAAGTATAGATTACATCAACCATGCATGATCATCACCTTCAAAGAAATTGCAAATAATCCTAATCATATAAAGAAACTATCAAACTATATTTGCACTGCATATCGATGGTTTATGCATTGAAAAATTGAGATGATGGTTTAGGTTGTTAAATAATACTAAAATCAAATAAAATGACACCAGTTTGTGGACATACATTAAGAGTAGAAATTTTCTCAGGAATTAGGCGATCATTTCTGTCACCTAAGCCCAGGTTTCCATAACGGCCCCAACCCCATCCATAGAGCTCTCCATTTTCTGTAACAGCCACAGAATGTTCGGCACCAGCAGCAACCATTTTGATAGACACTCCCTGCAAAAGATAAATGAAATTTAAAGAGCATAAAATATTTTAACAAAGTTCCTCAATGTGGACTAAAACGAAAACGTTTGATATGACACAAAGTACTAATATTACTCTTCCACTTTTCTCAAAGAAAAATCCTTGTGAAAGATTTTCTATGATGGAAGTGACATCCTGCCCTTATATTAATAATTCTTTTTCGGGTAGACCTTGAATATATAGCCAATACTTTTACCTACGTTGGTCAATAAATTAAATATAGAAGCATCCAAGATATGTACCTATATGGGAACACTTTATAAGTTACAAATACTACAGTTTCTCGGTATTAACAAAATCATTTCATGCTTACAAATATACACTCTGCTACAGTTGTAAAAATATGATAAAAAATAGTAAATTTAATCTGGTGTTAAAATGAGAGGCTCAAATTTTTTACAGCAAAAATTTATATTTAAGTGTGGAACATCTATATTAATGTCCCTAAAACGAACAAAGTAACATAAATTACCTGAAAGGCTTGAATTTTTTGAGGCACAAGAGCATCTTCAGTGGTTCCAAGACCAAGTTGACCATTTTGATTCCTCCCCCAGCTTAAATAGAATACAAAACTCAATCAGTAAAGCATTTCCCAAGTTATATGCTTAAAACTGTCACAAACATGCTGAAACAGAACCACGTCAAAAGCATATACTATTCAACATCGTTTTTGTGGAGATATAATAAATTTATCATCTGATGCAGTAAATATTAGATGCAGAATCAATTAAGTTAAAGATAATTTAAGTTATATGATTACAACTCTAGCACCAACGTAAAATAACATGAAATAAAATGTCAAAATAGTTGCCGTTACTGACCACCACCAAATAACTGAAACATCATATATTACCATTACAACCTAGTACATACTTCGACCAATACATACCTATATCAAATATTACATTATTTACTAATAACTGCCTTCTGTAAACATTTTACCATAACAAAATGAAGTGTCATGTCAACCAAATACCTGTTCGCTAGACTGTTAACACTACCTTCTAGGTACCGTCATTCTTCATAGAAAACAGCAAGTATTGCACATAGTATAAGTATATGTTTAGTAAAGAAGATGAAGAAATTGAATACACTTATGACTGAAGAAAAGAGATAAAGGAGTAACATTTTACAACTAATAAGATTGTAAGATTCCAAATATTCACTTTTTCATTTTTCCCTGACTTTTATTTCACATGGAGCACAGCGTTTTCTCATAGCAAATACAAGTACTGAAACATGAAGCATTTCAGAAATAACAAGTACTTACTCACTTGTGTTTGCGTCAGATAATCACAAAAGATTTTTAAATGTAATATAGAATTCTTCATATGGTTGCAAAACTGGAGTTCTGAAATTAACTGAGGAATCTTAGGGATTTCAGGACTAAGATTAACATTCCAGCAATCCCCCAAAACTACCGCAACCAGTTTATTGTTATAACACAAGGCTCAAAAGAACAAAGAACGAATTACAAGGATTTTTTCAAAACTACTGTGGATCTACTTAATGAAAAGCTTCTATATCAGTTATAACTAGCCTGGATAAAATCATGAAGGCCTTAGAGTGCAGTGATTTGATAACAATCTGCTGTCCATTTAGCTAAAGGCTGATCATTCGTGTCCAGCATAATGGTTTCATGAAACATTTTTAAGTAATCAGACCACCTATGTTCATAGAAACAGTCCCCCCTTGCAAAGAGAATGAGACCCCTCAAACTAACTTTTGACACCCTCATCTGAATTATAACTTTCAGTCAACAGCAGTTGGTTCAAAATAAAGACCAGGTGTTCAGCCCTAATAGGTGGCCAATTGACTAAATACTGTCTGACGCTGACAACCACAATTATAACAGATAAAGTAGGCAAGGTATACAAGCCTCAACCCCGCAGAGACGGACTTTAGCTTATCTTATGTTCTTCTCATTATTCTTCTGTCATGTTAAGATGAGATTGAAGAGTTTGTTCTTTAGTTTGCTATTGAATTAGTCTTATTCATTCTCCACCTCTTAAATATGAACATATAATTTTTGCCAGAGAAATTTCTCAGTAAGCTTCAACCATTTTGAACTACAGACTGTTATCCACCCTTGTAAAAAGGTTTGAGGAATTTTCATGTTGTCACTAGTAAGCTCAGGCCAAGGGAAAGTCAATCGACTGTAAAGCTTGTTGGGCTTTGGGTAGAGGACAGCTTCTAGTAGCTTGAAAGTGTAGGCACAGCCAAGGTTGGTCGAATCATTGTTTTAAAACCCGGCCGGGCTAGGCTGATTGGATCGGTGAGCTGGGCTGGACCGATTCGACCGGGAGAGCCTAAAAACTTTTTTTTGGGGGGGGGGGGGGCGAAGGATTCACTAGGGGTTGGGCTGGGGGTACTGTAGCAACCCGCCGGTCCAACCAGTTTTTGGAAAAAACCGGGTGAATCAAAATGCAGAAAATGGCGACTTCTAGCCAGTGTTCAGCAGGCAAACATGAGGGGTTTTGAAGGGTGGATCACGATGAGTTGAAGGTAGTGTCTGATTAAGTTTAAGTCGCCAGAATCACCGGAATTTGGCCAAGAAACAGCAAAACCCTAGCTTCTGATTGCCGACGATTGGTGGGTGGAATGGCTTGAGAACTTTGGGGATTTTGTAAGGGAGTAGTCGGTGAGTCTAAAGGTGGTGGTGGTTGGAGTTGTTGTCGCTCAAAACGGCCAGAATCTGGCAAAGGACAGCCTGAAAAACGCGTTTTTCGTCGCTGGCGATCAGCGAGTAATGAGAGGGGATAAAGGGTATGGTTCTGAAGAGAAGAGGGTGGGGGTTCCAGTGGTGGTGACAGGGGTGATTTTGGGTGAGAAAACAGGCGAAAAAAGGAGAAAGAAGGCCAATGTCAATGCATGCTAACATGTGCCAAAATTAGTCGCCATGCTAACGTGCGCCAATACAAAAATTTTGAAATTTTTTTAGGTGATACGTCACCAGTTTGACCCACCGGTTAAACCGGTCAACCAGCGACCCAGCTTCTTTGCTAGGTTTAGCCCCGGGTTGGTTTTTAAAACATTGGGTCGAATCACAGAAAACCTATCATGTTTGAGTTATAATTCGACTCAAACAAGTAATACCTCTAAATCCCTAAAAAGGAATTGCTTCTCAATAGTAAGCCTTAAATTCATGGTGGTGCATCACTGTGTTTCAAAGCACATAAGCAACCACTTGAAATTTGGACCAAAGCAATAGATAATCTAAACTGAAATAAATCAACATCAATGCATTATAGAATGAAGCGAGAAAGTTTGAGGAAGACCCCTAACCTCTGAACCTCTCCCTCCATGGTCACTGCTAAACAATGGCTGTCCCCACAAGCAATTTGCTTTATCCTCAAACCATGCAATGCTTTAATCGGCTGGGGAGTGAACAAGTCACTAGAATTGCCATGGCCCAGCCTTCCAAAGTCACCCCTGGAAAATTTTGAATAGAGAAAAATAATGCTGACATGCCATACAATAAAGAAAGAGCAATTAAGAAAAAATTCTTTTGATAAGCAGGTCGTGACATGAAAATTAGCATTTGTCAAGGTTTAGTATATGGAACAGAATAACATAAAACATGTAATACAATAAGCCATGTTGATTTATGAGATATAAGATATTATAATTCATAGGCACAAGACCAGGAGACAATGAAATAAAACCTCTTGTCATATTAAAATCTTCAATTTTCAGTAAAAAAAATTCAGGACCGTAACCAGAAAAGCAGTATCAATAGTAAATGTTATTATTGCAAAAATATAAAAACTTGTATAAGATTGGGAAAGAAGTAATTACAATAACTGAACAATCAGTAATCTCGAACACAAAAATGAAACCAAAGCAATCACCAGCTACCATAGCGCCCATCCAATCACTTTCAAAGAAGTGGAATGCCTTCTCTAACTTATTTGATCTCAATGACTGTATCCAAAAAATATTTTTGCAAACAATTAGACAAAAAACATTTTCTTGAAATTTCTTGGTTCCCTTGTCCTCAGAAACACAGAATTTTATTTAAATTCCACATCAAACAGGCCTAAAAAGAAAATCAAGAATTTATGTTGCAGAGAAAGCATATCAAATTGGAGATCCCAAGAGACAAAAGGGAAAGGTAGAGAACAAACCATCCCCAACTATAGACTTCCATACGTGACTCAGAATATGCAGTTGTATGATCAGCTCCACAGGTAACAGACACTATTTCAAGATCGTCAAGTGCACTCAATTGAGTAGGAGAAAGTCGATCCTCAGCATCGCCGTGCCCTAACTGCCCATCTTCTCCTCGTCCCCATGAGCACACAAGGTTTCCAGCTGTAAATGATCATAATATCACTCTTCATCATATTAATAACAAATTTTAGAAGTATTGCAATTGATCTACCAGCTGCATATACGCCAAGTAAAATGAAGGGAATTATGCAATCATGACAATCAACAAAAGGATAGCTTCATAGAAACATTCATTTGCATGGAAGTCATTGATGGAAGACATAACAAGTAAGTATCAATGAAGGCAACAAAAAATTTATGTGCTTCTGATGAGTTACAAGCTAGAAATGAAATGAAAGAGGAAAAACATTTAGCACTGAACTCTACAAACACACAAAAATATATTTTTTTTCTTTAGTTCTTTACCACATACACCTGCCCAGCCCAGCCCAGCCCACCATCCCCACTCTCAAACAAATTAAACTGATCCCCCTCCACATGTGGCTTTAAGGAGACCGATCTGTATACCTTTTGCTCCACAGTTGGCTTGAAGCAGTCAACAAAAACAGGAACACTTAAACCTAAGTCATTCCCACATCCAACTGTGATAGCATAGCAATGAGAGAAATTGTATAGCCGTCAAATCAGAACAATGCAGAAACAAATAGTTTCCATTCTCAATTTTATATTGATCATCAACATCACTACAAGCTATATGATCATGTAAATTTACTTACTTCAATCAGCTTTTGCATCACAACAAATTAACAGGTAATGCATTAAATGACAAAGCTTATCCAAGTTCAGAAACAAGTTTCAATACTTGCAGCAAATTGATATTTTCTACATTGTAAAATATGACAAAACTTGATTTTTCTTTTGACTGGAAGTCCAATAAAAGACTAAAAAAACAAAATGAAAGAGAATAAAATTAGGGTAGGAAGAATATACAGAGAAGAGCAACAGAGTGACTTGCACCAGCAGAGATAAGAAGAACCCGACGAAATGAAGTAGAGACTTCACTCATGGTAACTTCAGCCATTATGCTTTCTCTCTTTCTGAGTATGATGATGTTAGAAGAAGGAAGAGAGAAAGAACGTGTTAGTGGGGAAGAAGTCCAAAAAGAGAGAAAGAAAGAGAAAATAGAACTGGGATCCTGTTGGCAGAAAGAAACAATGAATGGTGATCAGAAAGTGGGGAAGAAATATTTATAGTGATGGAGAAAGGACATGTGCGTGAGAGGGGAGGGTCTAAGAAGAGACTAGATATTCAACTGACAAGACAGATCAACGGCATTGATGAAGGTGAGGGCCACCGTGAATTTACATGGTCAAATTACGCTCATGTTTATTCATTCATTCAATATCCACCACAAACTGCGCTCTAACTTTTTAACTACCATTCGCCTATTCCAACTTCAACTTCAAGACTTTTTCCAAAAAACTTAAAATAGTTTACAAGCAACACATTGACTACTGCATGGACCTAAATCTAAACATGTGATGCAGGTGTCTACCTATTCAAGAATCAAACCAAAGGACCATCGAATGGCATTTTTCAATTGACTGTATGAGGCAGAAAAACTTAGCTGTAACTGGAAGGTCCATGATACATTCAAATTTTAATACAAGTTAATATCCATCCTACTACAATTTACAGAAATTAAGGGAAAATAATATGAAAAATTAGGATCTGAAGCTACCATCTATCGTAAATCACGAGGAAAAACTTACTAATGGAATTGAATGACTAAAAGATCACCTGAGATATAAAGCTGTCACGCAATGCTTCCAGCTTATGAGGGACAAGGTGATCCTTAAAGTCCCATGGCCTAGTTGACCATATTTGCCATCCGTAAGTGTACAACCCACCGGAAGAAGAAACGAAATGGGGTGTCGCCATCCACAAGCAACCATAACCATCCTTTCTCCCTGCAACTTTGAATGATAACAGCTTGATCTTTAGAACACGAAAAGACTTAGGGGAAAGAAAACTAAACAAGAACAACAGTTAAACCTGATAAGCACAATAAAAAAAAAACTCTCAATATTACTACAGTAAGAAATTGCCAAGTATCTAAGGAGATAAGAATTAAAAATAAAAATAATAAACAAATCCCCTTTATATGCTATACATTACGGATGAAACTAGAACGACCAGTTATATGGTTACTTTTGAATTTTTATTTCAAGTATAGATTACATCAACCATGCATGATCATACCTTCAAAGAAATTGCAAATAACTATCATATAAAGAAACTATCAAACATATTTGCACTGCATATCGATGGTTATGCATTGAAAAATTGAGATGATGGTTTAGGTTGTAAAATACTAAAAATCAAATAAAATGACACCAGTTTGGGACATACATTAAGAGTAGAAATTTTCTCAGGAATTAGGCGTCATTTCGTCACCTAAGCCCAGGTTTCCATAACGGCCCCAACCCATCCATAGAGCTCTCCATTCTGTAACAGCCACAGAATGTTCGGCACAGCAGCAACCATTTTGATAGACACTCCCTGCAAAAGATAAATGAAATTTAAAGGCATAAAAATATTTTAACAAAGTTCTCAATGTGGACTAAAACGAAACGTTTGATATGACACAAAGTACTAAATATTACTTCCACTTTTCTCAAAGAAAACCTTGTGAAAGATTTTCTATGATGGAAGTGAAATCCTGCCTTATATAATAATCTTTTCGGGTAGACCTTGATATATAGCCAATACTTTTACCTACGTTGGTCAATAAATAAATATAGAAGCATCCAAGATATGTACCTATATGGGACACTTATAAGTTACAATACTACAGTTTCTCGGTATTAACAAAATCATTTCATGCTTACAAATATACACTCTGCTACAGTTGTAAATAATAAAAATGTAAATTTGATCTGGTGTTAAAATGAGAGGCTCAATTTTCACAGCAAAAATTTATATTTAAGTGTGGAACATCTATATTAATGTCCCTAAAACGAACAAAGTAACATAAATTAACTGAAAGGCTTGAATTTTTTGAGGCACAAGAGATCTTCGTGGTTCCAAGACCAAGTTGACCATTTTGATTCCTCCCCCAGCTTAAATAGAATACAAAACTCAATCAGTAAAGCATTTCCCATATATGCTTAAAACTGTCAACAACTGCTGAAACAGAAACACGTCAAAAGCACTTACTATTCAACATCGTTTTTTGTGGAGATTAATAAATTTATCATCTGATGCAGTAAAATAGATGCAGAATCAATTAAGGTAAAGATAATTTAAGTTATATGATTACAACTCTAGCACCAACGTAAAATAACATGAAATAAAATGTCAAAATAGTTGCCGTTAATGACCCAACCAATAACTGAAACATCATATTACATTACCAACCGTACATACTTCGACCAATACATCCTATATCAAATATTACATTATTTACTAATAACTGCCTTCTGTAAACATTTTACCATAACAAATGAAGTGTCATGTCAACCAAATCAGTGGTTAGACTTTAAACACTACTTCTAGGCCCGTCATTCTTATAGAAAACAGCAAGTATTGCACATAGTATAAGTATAGTTTAGTAAAGAAGATGAAGAAATTGAATACACTATGACTGAAGAAAAGAGATAAAGGAGTAAAACTTTACAAATAATGAGATTGTAAGATTCCAAAAATTCACTTTTCATTTTTCCCTGACTTTTATGACATGGAGCACAGCGTTTTCTCATAGCATACAAGTACTGAAACATGAAGCATTCCAGAAATAACAAAAGCACTACTTGTGTTTGCGTCGCAGATAATCAAAAGATTTTAAATGTAATATAGATTTTCCTATGGTTGCAAAACTGAAGTTCTGAAATAAACGAGGAATCTTAGGGATTTCAGGACTAAGATTAACATTCCAGACAATCCCCCAAAACTACCGCAACCATTATGTTATAACACAAGGCTCAAAGAACAAAGAACGAATTACAAGGATTCTTTCAAAACTACGTGGATCTACTTAATGAAAAGCTTATAATCAGTTATAACTAGCCTGGATAAAACATGAAGGCCTTAGAGTGCAGTGATTTGATAACATCTGCTGTCCATTTAGCAAAGGCTGATCATTCGTGTCCAGCATAATGGTTTCATGAAACATTTTTAAGTAAATCAGACCACCTATGTTCATAGAAACAGTCCCCCCTTGCAAAGAGAATGAGACCCCTCAAACTAACCTTTGATTCCTCATTGAATTATAACTTTCAGTCAACTGCAGTTGGTTCAAATAAAGACCAGGTGTTCAGCCCTAATAGGTGGCCAATTGACTAAATATGTCTGACGCTGACAACCACAATTAAACAGATAAAGTAGGCAAGTATACAAGCCTCAACCCCGCAGAGACGGACTTAGCTTATCTTATGTTCTTCTCATTATCTTCTGTCATGAAGATGAGATTGAAGAGTTGTTCTTTAGTTTGCTATTGAATTAGTCTTATTCATTCTCCACCTCTTAAATATGAACATATAATTTTTGCCAGAGAAATTTCTCAGTAAGCTCAACCATTTTGAACTACAGACTGTTATCCACCCTTGTAAAAAGGTTGAGGAATTTTCATGTTGTCCATAGTAAGCTCAGGCCAAGGGAAGTCAATCGACTGTAAAGCTTGTTGGGCTTTGGGTAGAGGACAGCTTCTAGTAGCTTGAAAGTGTAGGCACAGCCAAGGTTGGTCGAATCATTGTTTTAAAACCGGGCGGCTAGGTGATTGGATCGGTGAGCTGGGCGGACCGATTCGACCGGGAGAGCCTAAAAACTTTTTTTGTGGGGGGGGGGGGCGAAGGATTCACTGGGGTTGTGGCGTGGGGTACTGTAGCAACCCGCCGGTCCAACCAGTTTTTGGAAAAAACCGGGTGAATCAAAATGCCGAAAATGGCGACTTTAGCCAGTGTTCAGCAGGCAAACATGAGGGGTTTGAAGGTGGTCACGATGAGTGAAGGTAGTGTTGATAAGTTTAAGTCGCCAGAATCACCGGAATTTGGCCAAGAAACAGCAAAACCCTAGCTTCTGATTGCCGACGATTGGTGGGTGGAATGGCTTGAGAACTTGGGGATTTTGTAAGGGAGTAGTCGGTGAGTCTAAAGGGTGTGGTTGGAGTGTGTCGCTCGGCCAGAATCTGGCAAAGGACACCTGAAAAACGCTGTTTTTCGTCGCTGGCGATCAGCGAGTAATGAGAGGGGATAAAGGGTATGGTTCTGAAGAGAAGGGGTGGGGGTTCCAGTGGTGGTGACAGGGGTGATTTGGTGAGAAAACAGGCGAAAAAAGGAGAAAGAAGGCCAATGTCAATGCATGCTAACATGTGCCAAATTAGTCGCCATGCTAACGTGCGCCAATACAAAAATTTTGAAATTTTTTTAGGTGATACGTCACCAGTTTGACCCACGGTTAAACCGGTCAACCAGCGACCCAGTTCTTTGCAGGTAGCCCCGGGTTGGTTTTTAAAACATTGGGTCGAATCACAGAAAACCTATCATGTTTGAGTTATAATTCGACTCAAACAAGTAATACCTCTAAATCCCTAAAAAGAATGCTTCTCAATAGTAAGCCTTAAAATTCACTGGGGTGCATCACGTTTCCAACCCCAGCCATAAAGTTTTCCGTCAGATGTAAGGGCCATTGTGTGTCTCCAACCACCTGATATCTGCAAAAAAGAAAAAATGCCAAAAGAAATTTAATCGAACTGAACCTGGAGGATCAGAAATAGGTTCGTAATATACTAAGTCAACAAATACCTACCATTCTATGGGATTCACTCATCTAACAAGTATGAAGCATCATATAATTACCTTACTTTTAGCGCAAAAATTGCAAGTCTTGAGGGTACATAGATATAAACATTCGTCAATGGAAGGAACTTAAATACCTTTTTAACAACGAAATCATTTAAATAATCTAATTCACCACTAGGGAAATATACTCTGCTTGAAAATTCAATGGTATATTTTCTGTAACCACTCAAGCTAAATGCACAAGCTATCAAAAAAGAGTCAATATTATTATTAAACTCTCTAACAGGTTCCCACAGATGTAACTGGACAAGCCATGTTTGAACAGAACATATCAAATGCCAAATGCTAAATAAAAAAGCAAATTCAGATGCTAGCACATAACTAGTGGA